GTTTTAACTTTTTAGCAACAACACAACACAGATTTCAGGAAAGAAGGCGGCCTTGGCTTGGCTGTTCTGCAGCATCTTTTTACTCAGTGTATGAGAGAGACAGAAAGACAGGTAGTCATTGCATCTTTTTTCTCACCTGACGGGAACTAATTAATCAGCATGCTTGTAAGAGGGTCTCCTGAAGAAAAAATGCTCTAAACAAGGGTTGAGTTACTGTGGCAGGGAATTCCAGAGCATCAGGACTTACTTGTGTGTGTTCAGATTGGTTTAGAGCTTTTCAAAATGTTGATACACCCGGTACTGTACATGCTAACTAACACATCAACCACAGCCCTCGAGTCAACAGGAATTAATAGGCATTCACTACTTTGGACCCCCTAAGTCAAACTCAGACTGTGCTTACTAACATAGCACACACTACTACATAGCGTACCTCATGTAATTATGGTGTCACACACGCAATATAGGGCTGGAAAGTATGGCCATTTCTGTTATTTAATACATTTGTTTTATATTTTCATGGCATTGTTTAACTAAAAGCAACTACATACAGTATTTGGCGCACTTTCACATGTAATCAAGAGATAATGTCAATGGAATTGCATGTTGTCACAGGATAACAGCCTCCCGCTGTTGCTGAAATGCCAAATTGAAGCCGAGGCATTTATGGAAAATAAACGTCAAGTCAAAGCCAAGATATTTATTTTAAAAACAAGAGACATGGATCTTGTGGCAATGTTCCATCATGTCTCTATTTCTCTAATAACAAACGTCCACTGCGAATAGAGCCAAGTGACAGTTTCTTCCTGGGACAACACGGAGAGGGTGAAGCCTGATCACTTCACATGAAGACTTGCAGAGTTGTTTCTCATCTGCTTTCCTTCAGTTCAGGTTTTAGTCAAACTGTCCAGGTAACGAACACAAAATGGTTTCTCAGATGTGTGCAAAGTTTACAAAGAGAGGTAGGAGGACAGGAGGAAGAAAAAGCGACAGCAAATGCATTTTTAATTTGCTTTTATGTAGCCCTTTTTCTCCAGAGAAAGAATGACAATAACATGAAGCTAACTGAAGTCAACGGGAAGCCTTCCAGGCATTTCAGTGGGCTTTGACTAATGCCTTAAGAGAACAAACAGTTAATATTTTAAGAGGATATTATGTTAATAATGGTGGTGTCCGAATTTGCTTGCGATGAAGGCATGACTGGACCAAGGCTGGACAAGGAAGACAAGATCCTTCTGGGTCATAAGTGGCATCACGGTCACCCCTTGCGCCTGGCAGGCAACCGCTCGTCTCAGCTGCTGGCCCACGGGAGATTTCTGCTTTGCCCACGCCAGCCTCACAGCCACAGAGAAACTGTTCCTTCACTTCATTTCTCCAGTAAAGCTTCCTTAAATCCAGCTGGTTACCCAGTAGGAAAGATGACCGAATTTATTTTTCTTTGCATGGGGAAAACTGAAGGTTACTTGTCAAGAGCCAAGTTGCTGAGATATGGTAAGAAACGATGCTAAAGCTAAAAGTAAGAGCTGGAAATGTTTGGATCTTAGACATGATGCAATCTGATCCAAAGTTGGGAATTAGACTTTTGTCAAACCTAACTATAAAGGCCCAAGTGATGAGACATCCACTGCTACTCCTGGCAACATAATGGGATTGACATCCTAAAAGCCCTTGCAGATATTCATACCGCATTTTCCCTGTCATCACGATACCACTCATTAAATCTCCTTGTATTCATCTAAATTATTCCTCTCTCTCCCTGACAATTTTTTCTTCCTCCAACTACATTAAGAGATGATGTATCAAGAAGCTAAAATTGCCTCTCCGCTCTCCTCATCTCCTAACCCTACCATCCATCTTTAAAGGTTCATCACCTCTCTGCCAAAATCGTCCCTCTCCAGCCACCCTCGCAGGCCACGTAAGAGTTCCAAGACGTGGTACACAGAGCTCAGAGCATCCCTGGAGATCCAGGGATGATCTCCAGCAGCAAGTGCCCTGCCTGTCCCCAGGACGCAGAGCTGGCAACAGCAAATCCACTGCCCCCGGCGCTGCCCTAGCCACCGCGACGACGAAGGAAGGGGTTAGCCCCAGTGCCCAGCCCCATTCCCAGTCTCCTGCCCCACTGCTGCTGCTGACATTGCCCGGGGCAGCGCTGTGCATGTAGAGTCATACCCATGCAACAGGACGCTCATCTTGCAATCTGTTTTGCGTGGAGAGAGAGAGGCAAGATGACAAGCAGGAAGCTGTGCAAAGCATCTCAAAGGACTGGGTTTAAAAATATACCTAGATAACCCACTTCAGTTCCTGAAATGTTGAAGCTTCACAGCTCATGCCAACAGGGTTCCTCAAATGCAATACATTCTGATTTTCATCAGATCCGTCCATTATCCTCTATGCAATATAAGACCGATCTGTCCTAATAACTACGGAGAGTTTGGGCTTCTTTTTTTTTTAATGACTTCCAAAGGAAAAAATAAATTAGTTGCTCATTAAAAACTGTGATCTGGAGAGCAAGAAGAAACAAACCATTTCAGTTCTGGAAGCACTTCTCTTGACCTGACATCCTTAAAGAATATGCAAACAAAGAGCTATATTAAAATCATGTTAAGAAGCTCTCTGAAATGCAAAAAAAAAAAAAAAGTAAATTTTGAGTTAAAGGAGATTTGCAAAAGGTAAGGCTCTGAAGGGGGTTAAGCCTACAGTGATCATTTGGCTGCTCTGTGCTGCAAGGGCCAGAGGGATGTTCTGTACAGAAATCGTAAATTTGCTTATTTTTTCCTTTGGAGATGCATTGTTTCCCAAAGACATTCTGGCTCCAGCTCTGATCTGGCATTCCAGATTGATGCTTGTTGAACCAACAAAGATACTGGGAAGCAACACATGATTATGCGTCTTCTGGTTTGTTGCATATTTGCTAGTAATTTCCTTTACTTCTCCAACCTTTAAGCTTATCTTCTGTTACGGTGGGATGAAGATCTCCAGCTGGAGATCTGATAGGACAGCTTGATAGGCAAAGAGCTGGCACTTGATTAGGTTACGGTATTTATTAACTGTATAAAGATACTATAGCAATAATGGATCTGAACGGATGACAGATGGATGATGCTCCAGGAATAGCAAGAAAAACAGCTATACGGTACCCCCAACACTGCTTCCCACTGTCAGTGTCATCTTGGGAAAAGCATTTAAGATTTTATCAGATTTTTATCTGGCTGATTTTGTGCTAAAATGGACTGTGCACATTCACAAAATTCAGCCAAGCATCTCGGCTGTGGAGGCTTTGGTGCAGTGATGCACCGCAGGGCTCGTACCTACTTTAAGTGTTCCAGCTAGATGTAGAAAATAAAAAAATTGTTTCCATCCCACAGCTCCACTGTCCTAGCCTGGTTTCAGATTATTATTTTTTTAAATTAGGATTACAGATATTAGTCCTGGACAAATATTCCCAGCCACAGTCCTTCTGCTCTTTATTCAGCGTAAGGTCTCCCTCTATTCTTGATGATGCCATGCCTCTCGCCCTTCCCACCAAAAAGGGTCACGCTTTGGTCCAGCAGACGACAAGCAGCAAAGCAAGGTCCATGGGAACAGGAGGGAGTGGTTTGCCAAACAGCAGGTCCGCGCTGGTGTGTGGCCTTTAGTCAGGGTTAAATAAACAGCGTGTAAATAAATAAATAATTTTCTCCCAGGTTGTGACCTTGTAAATCAAGTCTAAGCCTGGAAGGGGTTTTTATGGTCCAGCTGGAACAGCAGAGCAGTCTTAGCAGAATAAATATATATAGGGGAAAAAAAATAACTGTGCCTTCCCATTGCTCCCAGGCTGCTGTGGGGAATGTTTGATGCTGCTGTGAGACATGCTGATGATTAAGAAAAAGGAGAGAGGGGACATCGCTCTCGTTTGCCCAACAGCTGTTTCACATTATTTTAAGAGGTTTAAAAGAGGAGTAAAACAGTTAAATGCACCCAAGAGTAATCCTCCAGCTTCGGAGCCGAATAGAGGGCTGAGCAAGTAAATGAAAATCCAGCCCAACTAGTTCCTAGCAGCAGCTTTCATGGAAGTGGATAGGAGCTGGGCAGGGATTTGCTCGGAGTCTGTTATCTGGGCATTACGGCCCTGGGATGCTTCGTGTACTTTATTGCTCATCACCAAATAACAGTAGTAAGACCTAGAGCAGTCCCTAGATTTAGTGTGGTTTGACCAGACTGGGTAAAAGGCACTGGCTGCATTTTAAAAAGTCCGGAGAGACCTGTCTGGTGCAACAAAGGAAAGGCAGAAACGGGAGCTGGGACTTCCACCTCCCAGCCCTGCAGTGGCTTGGTCCGGCAGGGCCAGGGAAGCCGGAGCGAAGAGGGCTCGCGATGGGGAGATGCTGGGACAAGCCACAGCCGCGGTCCCTGCACAGAACTGGCAGCATCATCTCCTGAGCCAGAAGGTTTTACGTGGGGTCCCGGCCAGGCGGTCTCTGGGGGTGCCCGGGCTGGGGCAGGAGACACTGGTGACGGGGGGCTGCAAGCGTGGGGCTTGTCCCCGATGGGGATGTCCCATGGGAGGCTGTCCATTGCTTTGCAACGGAGAATGATGCCGACAGTGCCGGTATTTGGTATTTTACACTTTCCAGGTGTAAAGAGGGGAAGCACCTGCTCCAGCAGCTCGCACGGCTGAGCTTGGCCACGGAGGCGTGCGGGGCATCTCTGGCATGAGTTGTGTCCCCCCGGCCCTTACCCCATCTTCCAAACGTTGGGGATTCCAAGCCCACCTGCCTTTGGGACTGCCGGGGGGGGGGGGTGACGCAGCCTGGCTTCGCCCCAGGGTCCCAGCCTTGGATATTTTGGGCTGCAAACCTGCCTTCTCCCAAGCCCCATTCCGGCCCCTGCTACACCTGCCGACCACCTCCCCGTTGCCCCCAAGCCCCCTCCCACCCAAGCATCGGAGGGGACACCGAGACACCGGCAGCCGCTGCGGGCAGGAACCCACCCCCCCGC